GGAGTAGGAGTCGGAATTAGTTTTTGGAACTAGGAGTCGGGAGTCACCGAAATTACATCGACTCCGCTGCCCTGCTAGTGCGCTCAGGACGGATGCACTGAAATTGCATTGCTGAAAAAAATCGAGTAAACATTGCCACTAAATATTATAAGTTTCACTTACGGGTGGCCGTTACTCACAGCTGGTGGTACAATATTGAAACGCACAGCCGTTACCCAATGCCGAGTCACACAGTGAGTCGCACAGCCGTTACACACAGCCGGAGGTGCACCATGCCGAGTTACACAGCACCAACAGAGCCGGCCGTACCACATCGAGTCGCAAAGCCGTTACACACAGCCGGAGGCACTATGCCGAGTCGCACAGCACCCATACAGAGCCGGCCGCACCACACCGAGTCACACAGCACCACGCTGAGTCGTAGTCGCTACACGAGCCGGTTTACCAGCTCACCTAGAGCTCCTTGCATGATGGCCAACTTTTCTATCGGCTCTTTTCAGCTGCCGGACCTCGTCCAGTCAGGCTAAGGAACCGAAGGGAGAGGTGGAGACGGGTGCTCGCCAACTTCCTGGACACGCGGGTGCCGAGCTGAGGCTGCCTGACGGCGATGAACAGCTTGAGATGCTGTATGACTCGCGGCCACTGATCTGCAGTTGCCCCCATCAGCAGGCAGAAGTTCCGCTCGAACTCCTCCACAGCGGCCACCCAGGCTTGTGACGGAACAAACAGCTGGCCTCGGCTGATCGTCGCAATTCAGCTGTTCGGCAGGGTGTTCACTGCAGACATGTGCATGGATCCGAGTGATGGATCTATGATCTCAGTGGATCTCGAAGCAAAGTACAGATTGGGATCTATGATCCCACCGGATCCGGCGTGAAAAATACATCTTGGATCTATGATCTCATATGATCTCATATGATCTGACGATAAATTAAGAACATGGATCTATGTTCTGAGTGGATCCCACCATGCACCACATTTGATACCATGTTATAACCCTCGCCGGCACAGCCCATTTGGCGTCCTTCGACGGCACAAGGGGGTTGGTACGACCCCCCCCCTCGCGTTTGGCCCCTGATCGAGCTAGAGCTTCGCGGAAAAAACGAGCGTGTTGCCCGTCACGAGAGGAAGCCGATGATACCCAATTTTAAGGTCCTAGGTCATCGGGTGACCTCCCAGGTCAGGTCAATGACCCGAAAACCGGGAAAATCGGGACCTGTTAGAAAGTCGTAAAGTGTGCCTGCTATGTGGTTTTCCGGGGTGCTGATCACGAATATCGTGTTAGTTTTGATCAGAGATGATGTTGCATTTAGACCAGGTCGGGTCAGGTCAGGTCAGGTCAACCGGTAGGGGTTGTGACGGGTATTCGTAATACGTGTCAACCGCCTCTGACAGCTTCGTAACATGTTACGAAGGCCCCAAAACTACTTCGTAAATGTTCAAATGGTTGCTAAATTCGAATTCAGCTCCAAAAACTAGCCTAGAAACATGTAAAACTCGAAAAAGTGAACCGAGGTCACCCGAGGTCACCAAAGGTCAATGACCTGACCTGACCTTCAGGTGACCTTGACACCCACCCTAATGTATGGGAGCAACATCAAATCACATGTTTGAACGTTTGAAACCACGAAAAGCTTGCAAACGCGCGGTTATTGCGAGCCGGCATACGCCGAATCGCGATTTCGGCCAAACATGGTCACGGAAAAGAGGTCACAGGTCAAAGGTCATTGGGGTCAGGGGCATGACATTTTCAGGGTAGGTGTAAAATTGATCAATGCGAAGGTACTGAAAGTTTCGTCGCGATCGGTCGCTTTTTACGCGAGTTATTCGCGAAAAAAACCTTAAGGGGTTGCATCAACCCCCCCCCCCTTTTGCCGGCGAGGGTTAAAGGGTTTCTATGCCAATAAGTGACACAAACTATGGATTATGACGTGCGATCACATAAAATCACTAAAACAGAACGTTAGTGAGTTGAAACAAGTGCTTTTTTGGGATATGTGTTGACAAAAAATAAGTGAGGATCTATGATTTCACTGGATCTCAGGCAAAAAATGAGGCTGGGGGGATCCGTGCTATCGTAAGTTATATCGGACGTGGCTGCGAAACTTCTCTCGGTACGAAACTTCTCTTGATCGGAAGAAAATCGGAGGGATGAAAAAGAAAGAGCGGCAAATCGGAGCTACGTTGTACGTAAGTTGTTTCGCAGCGTTTAAATGCCAGTTTTACTACGATTTAAATGCCAAGCAGATCAGCTGACCTCGTAGTACCATGTCGATAAGGTCGAATTCCCCATACGTCTATAGTGTAAAAGTGACCCCTATTGCAAATGGGCTGTCAGGGACATCTCCTCCTCTGTAAATTTGGAGGGATCATGTGTCGGCATTCCCACGTTCGTTTCGGAGTCCATCTGTTCCATTTGGAGCCCATCAGTTGGCGTCAAGAGTTGGCGCAGCGAGCGCCCCGAAGACTGCGTCTGCGCACGAGGCTTCGCGATGGAGGAGTATTTTGACGAAATCGCCCTCGCTGCAGAAGAAATAGAGGGACTTGTTGAGAAAGAGGAGGCTGCAGTGTGCCGACGACTTTAAACTGTACGCCAACCCCAAGACCAAGGCAATCAGGGGGCGCTCAGATGATCGGGAGGTTTCAATTGATCAGGGACTCACCAGGTGACCAGGGAACCCTCTGATAACCAGGGGTCCTTTCAGTAACCAGGGACTCCTTCAATAACCAGGGGCCCCTCAGTAAACGTGGGCCACTCAGGTTACTGCAAGAGACAGGAGTCCCTTATAACCAGGGACCGGCAAGGTCTCTCAGGTCCGTTTTTGACAAAGCTGTTATTGATGTCATATGCGAGCCCTTTGCACCAGCAGAGGGCCCTTTCAAGCCATTTTAGGGCCGTTTAACGTCGAGCTTGAGTTTCCTTTGAGGCTAAGGGCCTCTTCAGCAACCGAGGGGTCTTTGAGGCCTTTTTGAGGGCCTCTTAACGTCAGCTGAGGACCGTTGGACGCCATCTGAGGACCGTTTGGGGCCTTCTGATGGCCAGTAGATGCCAACTGAGGGCTCTCTGACACCAGCTGAGGGCATGCTGACACCAACTGGGGGCCTCCTGACACCAGCTAAGGGCTCTTTTATATTTGATACGAGCTCAGGGCCCTTTGACGCCCTTTGAGACCTTCTGAGGTCCGTTTGACGCCAGCAGAGGACCCTTTGGGGTCATATGAGGGTCCTTTGCTGCCTTCTAAGCGGCCTTTGAGGCTTTTTGAGGGCCGCTTGACGCCACCTGAGGACCGTTGCGGTTGGACTCCAGTTATGGACCGTTTGAGGCCTTCTGATGGCCATTTTGCGCCAACTGAGGGCCGGGGGCCCTCTGACACTAGCTGGGGGCCCTCTGACACCAGATAAGGGCCCTTTAAGGCCTTCTGAAGTCCGGTTAACGCTAGCGGAGGGCCTTTTGAGGCCAAATGAGGGCCCTTTGAGACCTTATAAGGGCTCCTTGAGGCTTTTGAGGGACGCGTGACGGCATCTGAGGACCGTTGTACTCCAGCTGACGACCGTTTGAGGCCTTCAGATGGACTTTTGGCGCCAGCTGAGGAGGGCTCACTGACACCAGCTGGGGGCCCTCTGACACAAGCTAAGGACTCTTTAAGGCCTTCGGATGGTCGTTTGACGCGAGCTCAGGGCCCTCTGACGCAGGTTTAGGGCCCTTTGACGCCCTTTAAGGTCTTCTGAGGTAGATTTAACGTTGGCTGAGAGCCCTTTGAACCCATCTGAGGGCCCTTTGAGGCCATCTTGTGGCCCTTCATTTGGCCATCTGAGGGCCCTTTGACACCAGATGAGGGCCATTTGACGCTAACCGAGGGCCCTTCGAGACCATCTGAGGACCCGGTGACCCCATCTGTGGGCCCTTTGAGGTCTTTTGAGGGTCATTGAACTTTCACCACAATACCCCTGGCTGCGCTACTGGGCATTTATGGACTCGTATGGGCCTGCTGGGGAACGAGATGGGCCCTCCCGGTCTTTTTAGTCATTATTTCAGTTCATTTTACATGGTCTTCGGCGGTCTAAAGATTAGGGGCCCCAACTCGAATGGGGGGGGGAGGCCCGTGTGCCCTCTCCTGTGTGCGGCCTTGCCGACACTACACCGCTTCCCCTCCCTCCGCCATAAACGCACCGCTGCACTGCTAGGCGCCGACAAATACGGACCGGCGCCGCAACCGGCTCCCCCGCGGCCTGCCTCGCGTTGACATAGCCCTTCCCGAACACCAGTGTAACCCCCACGCGGCCTAGGTATCGCCGCGCCCACCTGTCCGCGGCGCGGCCTCTGATGGCGTATCGGATCATTGATGGTGCGATACATGTTTTGGTCAGATTTTCGCAATTAACGCGAAAAATTGCCCAAAACACTTTTTAAATTTCAAAATTGAAAAAAAATGATTACAAAAATGACGTGAAAGTGACCGTTTTCAACGTGTAAATTTAAAACGCTCTAGCGCAGCCATTTTTGAAGAAATCGACTTCAAATTTTGCACACGTGTTCATCAACCATATTTGTTTAACATATATTTCGGTTTTGTGAAAATTTTGAAAATTTCTTATATTTTTCTCTTGAGAAAGAGGTAAAGCTTCGCTACGATCGGCCTTCCGATCGAGCGAGAAGATTCGTAAAGTTAGTTCGTATCTTCACCATTTGCGATACAACTTGCGTATCTACTTAGCCTACGATGTGATGGATCCCTCCAATATCTGTTCCGATTCAACTTACGTTTGATCGCAACTGCGAGGTGCCTTGCGATCACATGGATCCCCCCAGCCTGAGACTCGGATCTGTGATCCCTACGGATCTCTCGATAAATTACAGAGCTGGATCTATGATCCCGTCGGATCCGAGATCAGGATCCGTGGGATCAGATCCCAGATCCATTTTCCCGGATCCATGCACATGTCCGGTGTTCAGTGTCTCCGGCGGCGCCCGAGAAGTCAGGAGACCGACTGGCGACTACCGAGGGTGGCGTCGATGTGGTGACACTTGTATGCCACGAAGCCGGCAACAAATGCCAGCCCCTCGCGCTGAGCTTCCAGGTTGGAACTCGTCAGCTCGGCCCCGGCCATGGCTGCCAGCGTCGACACCGGCAGCGGCACTGTGAAAGCAGTATTACGCTACATCACTTGAAAGACATTGGCAATTTAATATTGTGCAACAAAAAAAAAAAAACGATAACACTTAAATGAGCCTAGTCTACGCATTGAAAGTGACAGATTTCGCGGACAACGAAAAATTCATGCCCTTTGGCTTTGCATTAATCCATTTTCCTGTTACTGTTGATTATTGGAGCCTCGTTTGGCGACTGCCCCTCAAATTCGCTCGTGATTAGCATGACACTTTTTCAGAAGAAAAAACACTGCGTATAAAAATGTTGAAACACCAACCAAAACTGAAACACCACTCAGCTTTTTTCTAAGCACTAGTTAGGACCAGCATAGGTCATTATCAGAACATTTAGTGGATGTGACTTGAGACATCATCTTATTGGATTGAGTGGCCTTATCCCGACAAAGAAGTTACCATTACTCATGGCAAAAAGAATGTTTTGATGCATTTTAACAATGGGAATAAAAATGATGGTGTCGCTCAAGACGGGCCAGAACTTTTAACACTGATGGATATTTGTGAACACTTTTAATGTGAGTGAAAACATAAACCAACTTTTAACACTGATGGATATTTGTGAACACTTTTAATGTGAGTGAAAACATAAACCATTAGACTTACTTGTCAGAGGTGCCTGCTGGCTGATCTAGAGGTTGCTCGCAGGTTGCTCCCAGAATCTCCTTGACCTCCTTTCTTTGCAGTGGTCCTCCTCAGGGACCTACTCGCCCTCGCCTCAGCTTTCCTGTAAACAGAAAACTTTCAGCACAAACAAATTTGGCTAACATCATGCTGACAGTACAAGCAACTAATAAATAAATGTTGAATAAGATTAAGCACCTACCCATGAAATAACTTCAGTGACCAATTTGAAAATAAACAATAATACCATGCAAAAACATTTTGATTTGTTTTAATTTTTACAGCTCTGATAACATTGCAACGAGATTGAGATGAACCCAGCCCGCAGTATGTGACCATACTATATACAATTTAAATTTTATTGCTAAAAAGTAAAGAGCTCATTTATATTTCAATTTGACACTGTAGTACTAGTTTGTTTACATTGCGTGTTTGCTCTAACCATTTTATTTGTTGAGTGTATCATGTTAGGTCAAGGTGTTTATGCGCACTGCGAGCACTGAAAAATTATTACCAGCTTAATTGCAAAAATGGAAACTTAAAAAAAAAAACGCCAGATTATGTTTAGATCCATTGCAAAATGAATACCTTGGTTGAGGTTCCTCAGCATGATCCCAGCTTGAAATACTTGGTTGTTCTTCATGATATGAGACGAAACGTAATACAAAGTGTGGTTGCCACTTATGTTTAGCTTTTGCGACCTTCAAACACATGAAAACGTGTTTATATTATTAAACAAACATATTAAAACTTTGCGTAACAACCAAAGTAATAACACGCAACGGTCGGAAAACACTGCGCCGGTGCGCCAGAATTGACTACATTACTCGAATCTCAGCGACCAATCAGCTTTCGAGCATCCCAGTTACGTCACATTGGCAGCATTTGGTAGCAATTTCCTTGTACGTGTGTCCCTATGGCGATGAACCCCCCCTGGAGCAAGGACTGAGCTTGGACTGAACCTGAAACCAACCGAAACATCCCAAAAATGCTTGAAAGCACGCGAGATTGGTGTGGAGATCTATATACCTACAGTAAGATATGAATTAACTGCACGTGCATAGTTCATGTCCCAGGCACCCCAGTGCAGTCATTTTCATAACATCATGTAGCGTGTGTCTTATTCTATCAGTGTACCGACTTTTGTGTCGCTAGATCGACGTTTCCCGGGATCAGAGGATCCCTCGTCAAAACCGTTATCCGCCCCCCGCACGCGCAGCTTGCACCCCTCGGATATTATCTCGCCGGAATGTCGTGATCAAATGTATTCTTCTTATGACCTGCAAGTTTTGAACCAGTTAGAGCTGCCGTTTACCCTGCAGGCGTGGCAACGTACGAAGGGGTGCAATCGGCTTGCACGTGCATAGCTCATGTACCACAGAGTTTAGCTCAACCAAATGTGCATTATTTTGGAGGCCTTGCCTGGGACTACCATTGAACCGATTTTGAGGTTGATAGCTTAAAATTTCTTTGAGCCAGAGGACCTCACGTCAAAACGGTTTTCCGACCCCAGCACGTGCAGCCTGCACCCCTCGCAGACGGTGCCCCCCTGGAAACTGGTTCAAGGTGTTACCGATGTGTCCCGCCAGTATGGCTTTGCCCGTGACCTCGGGTTGACCTGTAGCCTTGACAAAAAATTTCGTGTCACCGAAACTTTGAAGCGGAATAGCATGTGCCACGAAGCACTGAGCGAACCGAGGCCAGTACCAAAAGTTTACCTCGCCGGAGACGAGTCGAACGGTCCCACTTTCGTCCCGATCGGTCCACCCATTTTGACTCCAGGTCCAAAAAAGCTTGGACAAACTCACATACTCACTCACATACTCACTCACATACTGACAAACACAAGGACAAACAGGCTTGGCCGAACTTTTCTTCAGCGACCCACCAACGGGAATTTCCGGATGCAAAAGCATGCTATCGCATGCTTTTGATCCTCCAATTCTGGAAAAGGAAATGAGACTTTGGACTATAAGACTCGGTACAGCCCAGAGCTGGCCTTAACCTCCAGTATAAAATTGGATCCACGGCTTTAAACTGACAGAGCAGGACGAGACGGCCATTTTCAGCCTGTAAAGTGTTAATGTCATCACGGAAACTTTCCAGAGTCTTGTTCTGTGAGTTAAATGCGTCGGACTTTTTTTGTAAGAAAACATGAATTTCATTCTGCGCTTCATGTAGCCAAAATCAGTCTGCGGGTAACCTTACTTGATGTGATTTACTTTCTGCAACGTCCTGCATAGTTTTACTGACGTGACTACTAAACCAGTTGCCTAATACTTTAAAATTATCGAAAAGTCATGGAATTGAGCAGGGAATGTTGTTAGCTTTCATAAGCAATCAGAATGCAAGAAGCTGCACCGAAACATAGAAAATGCCCAGCTAACAATTTGCCGTTGTTACAACGTCGTTTAAACGTTGTCAAATGGTTACCACAACGTCCCGATTTGTCGTTGTGATAACGTAATTTTGTAGACTCCAGACAACGGCGTGACAACGTCATCCGACCATGCATTTGAATGTCATCACAACGTTTCTGTAACGTGGCCGTGACGTCCCAAAACTGTTCTTACAACGTCCCGCCAACGTTATGAAATGTTTTCTGTAACGTGCCAACAGTGTTTCTGGGACGTTGTCACCACGTTTCCACAACGTGACTACAACGAGTATAGAACGCTTTGGCTACGTCTCTGTGACGTTTCTGAACGTTTTTATCACGTGCGCACCACGTTGTCGCTACTTCGTATTGCCGTCCCTGCGACCCTGAGTAAACGTCCTAAACATTTTCGCAACGCCCTCTCAACGTGTTCGCAACATACTCAGAATGTGTTTCCGACGCTCTCTTCCCGTTCTCTAGACTTGTAAAAAAGGCATGTAAGAAGTGTATATTTCAATATATCATACAGGTCAATTTACAAAACAAAAAACGACGGCGGCGGCATCGGTGATGGGGCATGGGGCCCAGGGGCGCCCCCATGGGGGCGTGAGACGGAATTGGGTTCTACGGCTCTGGCGCTAGCCGCTAGCACGCCAGAACTGGTGGAAGTTCACTTCTTCACTAACCCTCGCTGGGAGGATCACTCGGCGGACCGTTAGGCACCGGCTCATTTGCGGCTTCGATGTCCCTAGGCAGCTGGCAGTGCCTGACTAGACGGTCTGCGCACCCCCGTTCCGGTCGCAGCTTCCGGACAGCCACTTCGCTACCGCATTGCCGACAGTAGGCCTGCCACAAGGCGCGCTGACGAGTTGCAGGACGTCTGCGGGAAGACATGAGGGAAAATCAGACATTCAATATAACAGCCGCGTTTACATAGGGATAGTTGCAAGCCTCTAGCTCCGCCTGTGATGTTGCAAAACATGCCAATGACGCTTTGCAATTTACACATGTTATATGATATATATATATATATATATATATATATATATATATATATATATATATATATATATATATATATATATATATATATATATATATATATATATATATATATATATATATATATATATATATATATATATATATATATATATATATATATATATATATATATATATATATATATATATTAGAGAGAGATAGAGAGAGAAAGGTATCAGCATTTACTTGTAAAAACACCGCTAATTATTCAGTACCTATAATGTCAAGGTTGTGAAAAACCGTTTTAACAACGTGTTGGCGACCACCAGCTTACAACGTGAACAGTCCAAGTGTTAAAAATGTCAAATTTAACGATGAAAACTGAATATGCGCATTGAAAGTCAAAGGAAATGCATTATATGGCCATATATGTCACCATGCATTATCAAAATATAATGCTGCAAGTGCGCAGTTGCTGCAACGTACCAATAAAACGTTGTCACGACGTTTTACCACGACTTTCGGACCAAACCATGGCTTCACAACGTTCAGAACGTTGCTACAACGTAATTAAAACGTAATTTCGCAACTTACCGAAACACGACGTTGTGACAACGTTGTAGTAACGTTTCCTGTTAGCTGGGTGAGGACGCTGATGCAATGCAAAGTGTCTGGCTGAACCTTCCACTTTGCGTAAAAATGTGAGCATTCAACATAACAATAAAAAGCAAAAATTGCCCGATTACGTATGGTCTGTAAGTAGCTCCCATGAACATGGAAAATAAAACTTCTAGGGTCCATTATTGTTCGATATCGCTTTAAAATCCGGGATATATGACGTTTCTTTCTCAAATTTTCTGGGATGGCTCTGAAATATCTCCGCAAGAGTCCATGCACTTGCTACATAGATGGAGGCATGGATCTGTATCTACCTACTCAGCGCTCCCCACATTCGGCAATTCCCTTGTCTTTGTCCATCCCTATTCCCTAACAGATCTTTGATGTTAGCTGAAAGGCGCACACCACACGGTAAATCAAAGGCCACTCGGCGGAGAGAGAGAGAGAGAGAGAGAGAGAGAGAGAGAGAGAGAGAGAGAGAGAGAGAGAGAGAGAGAGAGAGAGAGAGAGAGAGAGAGAGAGAGAGAGAGAGAGAGAGAGAGAGAGAGAGAGAGAGAGAGAGAAGAGAGAGAGAGCGAAAGAAAGAGTAAGAGACAGAGACAGAGACAGAGACAGAGAGAAAGACAGACAGACAGATAGACAGACAGACAGACAGACAGAATGAGCAAGAATTCACAGAAGTGTCTGATGGCTGCAATGACTGAGGTGCGCGCGTCACCACGGCCCGGTCCATGATTAACGACGTCAGCCAGGAGGGCCGCCCGTCGGCCGCCGGAAATCCTCGGTAACCATGGCAACGCCGGCCATCACGGAAGCGGCCTGTCTGATGCGCGTCGGATGCACCGCGCCACTGGTGACCGACCCGGGTCAATGGACATAACGAGAAACCTACGCAAAGGCGCCACCGAATCATCGTCGAAATGAGGTCACGAAAGAGCGAACTTCTTTCCAAATAGTTGGTGGTGCTCACAAATATGCCTATGCTCGAATATTTCATCTTTATTTAGGCTCGAATGTTCTAATGCTTCCCCAGTCCCCACTCTGATCATATAGCTAACTCAGTCCTTTGCTGTTGTGAGTAGCATGCAACGCTACTTTGTATTTTGTCTCCATGTGCAAATACAGGTGGCGGCCGCGGCAGGCCCTTATCGGTCGTCAGCCGGCGGCGACACGGGCAGGATATATGGTCCCCAGGCGACCCAGCCCGAGGCGCCCGCCTCCATCTCCACCCGGTCACGCACAGTGGGTTAAAACTGCTGCCGAAACCGGCGGACGTCCTCCCTGCAGACACACCCATTTCCGGCGCTCGACAGGAATAGAGAGACCGGAGACAAACACTCGCTCTCCTATAGACGGGAAATGGAGAGGACGGCTCAGTCGGGCCGACATTCACTCGGATAGGGACTCGGAAGCTCGACCGGCGCCTGCGGGGGACGTCTGCCGGTGCTGCGTCCGGCACCCTGTCTGTCTCCGGGGGCGGACGGCGCGGGGTGGTGGGGCTGACCGTCTCACGCCTTAGCCAAGGTCTCATCGCCAGGGATCAATGGCCAGCCATTACCGACAAAGGAAAAGGAGCCGGCGTGAGCCGATCGTGTGAAAGGGAGAAGGAAAGAGGTGGTGAGAGGTGGCGAGAGAAAGGAGGGAGAGGGTGGAGAGGGGATGAGAGAGAAAAAATCGCCAGAACAACGAGAAGGAGGCGAAAAGTATATAAAAAGTATATATGTGTGTATTACAATGAGTCAGGGAATGTGCAAGTGACTTTGGAAATTCAGTGACTGCTACTCTCGGAGAGCGAGAAGATGCAGCGAGATGTGTCACCTTGTATTGAATATGGCAGTGCTGTACCGCTGAGAAAAGTTGTCCCACGAACGGAAAGCCTATCGACGAACAAGCATCCGTTATGTGCCTAAACGGCCACACTTTATGGCCCACACTTATCAGTAGGTAAGTACAACATCCAGTTAAATCTGTAGCCCAAACAGCCGAGGCGCTACGGCGCCAAGCTATGCACCGGACGAGAGCACACCCAATAGGCAGTAGACATTATTGAAAACCCCAGATGGACCTGCATAGGGATTTGAGATGGAATTATCATATGGCAACAGACGACACACAGCGACCGTTTCTTACAAATGCGATGAACCGCGGGACAGCGTCATGAAGCGCATACCAATCCAACAAAGTTACAAGGTGGCTGACGCTTTCATGTAGATACAGGCAAAAAGGCGCCCAATCCTCCGAGTAGTGTTTACTGAGAAGCTGAAATGTGGTGTGATAAAACCAGATCATCACAGACATGAGCCTGGCCGTAAAAACAGGCACTTTTTGTGCGACCAGACGTCATCTGGCATAGTCCAGTCACATGGGGGAAGTGGTTGTCTACACCTTCCATTTGCTTTTGTTTTTTGTTCTATCCCACCCTTTCACGATTTCTTGTCTCTCCCAATTTTCCAGTTTAGTCATTCATGTCGGTCCACAGTAATTGTGGCTGACGTGAGCGCCTTAATCTAAATCAAAACAGTCGAATCTCGTGCAGTGGCGGCGGAATAGGGGGTGCAGGGGGTGCAGCTGCACCCCCATCGAAAAACATGGGGGTGCAAACATATCTTTTTGCACCCCCAAAATCCGTACAAGGGGCCCGTCGCACCATCCAATACATTTCTCCTGAAAACCAGTGATCGGGAAACGAACACTGATGTGGAATCATCCGGGATGTCCCATTATGGTCAGGAACGCCCCATGCTAGTCTTTGGGGCCCCCACACCGGCTAGAAGTGTCCCGAGCCGCGTTTGGTGCTCCACGCGGCATCTGAGGGCCCCACGATGGCCTCAGAGGGCCCTTTTATGACGATCTCTGAGGGCTCCCACTTGAGGGCTTTGTCCCCCGGGGCCCTATAACGGTCACTAAGGGCCCTCATGAAGACCGCTGAGGGTCCCACAGAGACTCCAGGGCCCCAAAGAGACTCCAGGGGCCACGCTGGCCTCTGAGGGCCCCTATGACGGCCTCTGAGGGCCCTTACGATGATCTCTGAGGGCTCTCACGACGAACTCTGTCCCCTGGAGCCCTATAACGACCACTAAGGGCCCTCAGGACAACCGCTGAGGGTCCCACAGGACTCCAGTGGCCCCACTGGCCTCTGAGGGCCTCTACGACGGTCTCTGAGGGCCCTTATGACGGCCCTAGACCCAAATCAAGTCTGAGGGCCCATTTGGCTTCAGACGGCCCATAAAGACCCTCAATATGGCCAAGGACCCTCATGACGACCTCTGATGATCCTCTCGAAGGCATCTAAAGGCCCTCACAACAACTTCTGAGGACCCCAGGACGGTCCCTGAGGGGCTGAGGGCCCTGACGACGACCTCTCTGGGCCCTCACGATGGTCTCTAAGACCCAACGCAAGCTCCAAAGGCCCACACTGCCTGGCGTCTGAGGGCCCCACGACGGCCTCTGAGGGCCTCGACGCAGGCAGGCTCCAGGGGCCATGCTGACCTCTGAGGGCCCTCTTGACGGCTTCTAGGGCCTAACGAAGGTTTCAAGGGCCAACGCTGGCCTCTGAAGAACCCTACGACGGCCTCGGAGGGTCTCAACTCAACGCAGGCAGGTGCCAGGAGACATGCTGGCCTCTGAGGGTCCCGCAGAGTTCAGATTCAGAGGATCCAACGACCTTTGTGGACCTTACGAAATACGAAGGTCTCCGAGAGCTCACGCAGGCTCCTGGAATTACACACTGATTCTCAGGCCCCATGTCGGCTTGTTGAGGCACTTTATCTGCTCTTGGTGCCCCGTCGCCGACCTCTGAGAGTCTCAATGTCGGAACTTATGGGGCCATGGGCCCTACACCGGCTTTTATGGCCCCTACATCGACTCTTGGGACTCATGACCCATGAAATGTGGGTCTAAGCGGCTTTTAAGAATCCCCATGCTGGTTCCAGTAGCCGCCAGCCGAATATTAGGGCTCACACGCGAGCTCCTGGGACCCCGTGCATAGGTACCCCAGGGGTCTACCTGCCTCTAAGACCCCACACATACTTTTGGGGCTCAAACGCTTGCCCCTGAAGGCCCCACTGAGACCCCTTTCCTCTATTCAGTCCTCCATACCAGCTCTTTAGGCTAAACATCGGCTCCTGTGGCCTCCATCCCGGCTTTGGAGGGCCTCCATATACAGGCTTTTTTTGGGGTCGGATGCCGGTTTCTGAGAGCCCTCAAAAGACTTTCGAGCCTATACTGCCTTCTGAAACCTTTCAGCAACTTTCAAGGGACCGACCCTGATCGGAGGGCTCATTCAGTCTGGGGAGTCATGTAGGTCTCTGGAGGAGTCTCTATGTGGTCGGTTTCCAAGGGGCTTCTAAACACGGTCTTCTTGGAACGGTCTCGTAGAGCCCTCAATGGTCCACTGCGGATCCAGAAAAAGTGGTTTGAGACGCTGCGGGTGGTGACTAGACTAAAAGATTAGCCGATAAAAACTAGCTGCATTTGCTTCTTTATGCTTTCATTATTTGAGACAGGTAGGTACACTGCAATTTTAAACCTTTTACAGAACTTGTGCGTATGGGGAGAGTTTTCCGAACTCTTCGTTTTTCATAAATCAATAAAAATCACCCAAAAAAAACTGAAGGGGGCCCAAAACTTCCAGAGGGGCCCCTTCAGAAAACTTTGCACCCCCATCCAAAATTACCTTCCGCCGCCACTGATCTCGTGATGCTTAAGATGGAAACTGGCGACACACATTGCGTGTTACTTAAAAGTGACATTGATCACTGATGGAAAATCATTTTTCCCTGCACGACTATTCCAAAGTGGCTTAGATTTGATTTCGTTAGTAATTAACTACATGATATCAAATGTCACAAAGAGGCCATCATTATTCTGATGATCATCCTGTCTCCTGATGCAAAATCTACACGGTAATTGCAGTATCGAATGTAAATGATTCCTTGAAGCAGCAGCGCCAAATGATCTGTCTATGCTAATACCCGTTATAGCAATGTATGTACGGTAACAGAGGGAACGATAGAGCACAGTCCAGATCGGGCCAATAATTCTAGCCACCGGACCCGCCGACAGTCTGGGCTCCCGTCTAGTCCAAGATTGGTCGGTGCGCTACCTGAATATGTGAATATCCGAGTAACCAGCCCGATACTGGTGGCCAAGGACCGTCCCGGCCGCCAGAGAATTAGATGTGGCGTTATGCGCTGCCCTACTCGGCGGTTCGATCGACTCCAGTCAACGCCCATTCTATTTACTCCTCACTTCTGAGCTTGGTGAACGGAGATTTAAAGTTCCAACTTGTACCTAGCTATGTTATAATGAATGCCATGTTGGGCACGTTTTTTGTGCAGATGTTTCCTGTTGGCATATTCTACTGTTTCGTGATTTAATATTTCTAAGCAAGCAAAGCGAATGAAAGGGCATAAATCAATCACTTCTATACAAGACGAGTAATAACGATCCACAATGGATCATGACGTAGTGTAAAGATGAAACTTTCATCCACCCAATCGCAGCCTATTTCACCGGTGAGTCATCCTCCTAAAGCATAGTATCCCCTCCTCACTATATTTTTCATTCCTCGAACTATCCGAGGCAACAAACACCCTATTGCACGGCAAAGTAATTTGATCATCTCCCAGCTGCAAAACAAATTGTTCGCTCGTCTCTGAGGCGACCTACCGACCGCGGTTTCCATAGAACCCGAGCCCGGATCCACGGCGGCAAAACGTCTCATCCTGCTGACAGGAATTAAATTCCTGTCACCATGCATCCTGCTATTTATTTATCGTGCAGCGCTGTTGCTCGTGACTGTGATGGTGCTTTGTTTCCCTGACGGACGGAAAAGTCGACGGAACGTCAGTCTGGAGCACTGCTTCCATGGCATGGCCTGGCGGTGACGGCTTATCTGAGAGTTCATCGCTCAGGCTTGTATAGCTGACACGACGCCAGACAAAGGACGACACAAAGACTGACACAACAGCACACTCAGTGGTCAGTTGGCACAACAGCACACATCAGTTGATACCTTAGCACACAGCAGTTGATAAAATGGCACACAACACAACCGAACACATATTGATACAACAGCACACATCAGTTGCCACAACAGCACACTGATGCAACAGCACACATCACTTGGTACAACAACGCACATCACCTGATACAAAGACACACTTCACCTGTGACCTGATAAAATGGCACACACCACCTGGCACAAGAGCACACATTAATTGGCACAACAGCAAACATCAGATGATACAATGGCACAAAAACTAAGAGAAAACAGATGGACGGATGCAACGGACAAGGAGCTGGAGACTGAAGCACCCACCATCCAGTACCATCCTCCCGGCCATGTTGGGCCATTCAGCCAATTGTGGCTGAATGTTGCTGTTTGTCTTAGTCCTTCATTCTGATAGCATCGAAATGACTATTGCCCACAATAACGCAGCTAGGGCATCAATTACCGTGATTTCGTTCATTCGCGAGTAAGGTTACCAGCCGTTTCCCCAAACCGTTACCACTTACTAAAGGTAGCCGTTCCTCAAGGCTCCAGCATATTGCACCCCGTAAAAACGCTGGCAATCCTTGTACAAAAGAACACTGTATTTGACAAGTGGTACAATATATAATACATGCGACGCCAAGCAAAGGTGATTCGGTCCGGCCGCCGTGACCCCACCGGCCCACGCCTTGAGCAATGAGCATTCGTTGCGTCAGTGACTAAAACAGCATGCCCGTGAGGTAATATCGAGGGAAGAGAAACACATACTCGGCGCGCGGCCCCCGCCAAACGTGAACAGAGTCCGGGCCGACAGCGCGAACCGCTTCAACAAAACAACGCCGCCAGTCGCCGGCACGGCGGCCCACACACTCGAGCTAGCACTAGACTGCACGGGTCATGTCACTGAGGGGGAGCCGCGGGGGAGAGGGGTCGCGATCGAGCGGCGGGTCCGAGCGGTGCACCTAGTCAGGAGACCGCACGGGGGGGGGGGGGGGGGCGTCCGGTCCGGACCGGACCGGGAATTAACTGGCCGGCAGTGGTCCACCCGTCGCCATGGAGATCAACGGATGGGGCCATGGTTGCTAGGCAACCGTGCGGCAGTCGCGGCCGTCGAACTGGGTGGAGGGTGGCCGCGTCGACCGGTCTGACGGACCACTGCGTTCAAAACGACTACTGGGGAACGGGGGACGGGACGCGAACAGCGATACAAAAGACGGTATGTACACAGACTTGTATGACGTCGCGACGGATCTCGCGCTATGTACAGGTTGTGGCGCCAGTCCGGGGTCCGATTAGACCCCCGCCGGACCTTGTGGGCCCCGCGGGGACCCGGGGCTCCGAGAGGGGCCTCTCTGGCGCGTCAGTTATCACAGGATCGTGCTCGAGGGAGACACGGCCAGCAGACGAGTCTGGCCGACCGCCACCGCCGCCGCCGCCGCGTTAAAGCTGTCACATTTGAACCAAGGAACGCAAATGCAATGCCTCGACAATGCAGTTCACACGCGATAACGACGCAACAAAATGTCTCACCAGCTGCCGCAACAAAAATCACAAACACTCGAACAAAATGCCGGGCGAAAAATCGAGACAAAAAAAACGAACAAAACATCGCGAGAATACCCAATCGAACCAACAACCAACACACTAACCAACCAAACAAACAATAACGCTCGAACCACCGGCGAGCGCAAGCAACGCGCTGAACAAAATCACGCGGGTTGTACTGTGGTGGCTAACGTAAAGCAGAATGGCAGTAGCGTATGTACGAACACAGGGGGTGGGCGGCGGGCGCCTCTCAGCAGACGGTCTCCGTCACCGGCTCGTCACCGCTGCGGTGCCGGCGCGCGCGACGCTGTCGGTACCGCTGGAACTCCTGCCTCATGGCCTGCACACGCGCCTCCATCTCCGGAACGTGCCGGACTCGCGAGCGGGGCAGCACGGGCGCCGCGCCGCCCGGAGACTCGGTGCCCGGAGTCAGCACCGGGTCGAACTCGTAATGGTCGTCCACGGAGATGTCGAGCGGCTGCGCCGGCGGCAGGTAAGCGGGCGGCGGCAGGTAGGGAGGCAGGTAGGGCAGCTGGGCCGGCAGCTGAGTGCCCGGCCGCTCCACCGGCCGCCAGTGGGTGGGCGGCAGTGAGGGCGGCAGCGCCGGCGGCGGCGGCGGCGACGGCGGCGGCTCCGTCAGCTGAGAGTCGGCCAGCTGCTGAGACAGACCCGACGACGAGTGGGTCCGCTGTGAGGTGTTCTTGCTGCTGGAGCCGAGCCCGCTGGAGCTGGACTTTTCGTGCGGCGGCAGCTCATCCTCTGGCCACCGGGAGAGCGCCGGCGCGCTGGCCGGCCGCAGCAGACCCAGCTGGGAGCGCACCCGGCCGATGGCGGCCTGCAGCCGATCGCGGGTGTAAGCCAGCGGCCGGTCGGTGCGGCCCAGAGAGCTGGAGGGCGACTCCTCAGTGGTCGTCCGAGCGGGAACCGCTACCGGGGGCACCACTGCCGGCGGCACGGCCACCGGGGGCACCCCCACCCCTACCGGTACGGCAGGCACCGCGGGCACGGCCGCCGGCCGCGGCACCGGCGCCTGCGGCTCCGCGCGGGTCACGAAGCGGCGCGGTGCCGGCGGGGCGGCCGCCACGGGCGGCGGTGAGCTGGTGGCCAGCGGTCTCTGGGGCCGGTACGGGTCGCCGCCGGCCGCCGACCAGCGCGGCACGTTGGCGTACACGGGCTGTGGCCGCTGCCGGGGCCGCGGCCGCGGGATGTCCGCTATCCGCGGCGGCTCGATGTGGCCCACCGTGTGCACGTGCTGGCCCGAGTCGCGGAACGCCAGCCGCGGGTCGAGCAGCCGCGGCAGCCGGGTGTCGGCCGGGCCGGCCACGGCGGAGCGCCACCGGCCCTCCACGGGCCAGTTCTCGTAGTGGGGTGACGCGCCGGCCGCCGCCGCCTCATGGATGGTGCGCAGAGCCGGCAGTCGCGGGTCGGGCCGCCGCCGCGGCGTCTCCTGCGGCGCCGCGTCGCGCCGATGCACCATCGCCGCCGCCGTACCGGTGGCCGGGGTCGCCCCCTGCGACGGCTGGGACCCAGACGACAGCACCGTGCTGGGAAACGTCCTCTCTATCGAGCCGGGCACGGCCACCGAGCTCAGGTCGGAGAACTCGAACGGCCCCAGCTGGCCGGCCAGTGGACCGGGCGAGGAGGCGCGGAACCGGCGGCCGTCGGGCGACAGCGCCACGGGCGAGGTGGGCGCGTGCTCGGGGATCTGGTGTTTGCCGAACCCGTGACTCACCCTGCGTCCAGCCGGCACCGGCGTGCGCGGAGAGCGGCGCGGGTGGACGTGGTAGATCCCCGACTGGAGTGGCCGTGCCGCCTGCCGCAGCCGCCGCCGCCGCTCCCCGCTCGGCGTCAGAAAGCCGCCGTCGTCGTCACCGTTGACGACGAAGCGCCCGTCTGGCGTGCGCGCGATCCAGGCCAGCGGCTGACTGTACTCCATCTCGACGCTGTAAACCATTTTGGCGCGGCGCGGCGTCAGGTCCAGGTCGTCGATGAGACTCTGCGAGAGGCCGGCCGAGAGCCGCGGCCGGTACAGAAGGTTGCTGGCGTGCCGAATCAGACCCGGTACTCGGCGGACAAGGCTGTGAACACGGCCACACGGTGGGCGATGTGAGACATGTAGGGAGGGAGGAGGGGGTCACACTTAGCACGGGGCCCCGATTCAGGGCGGGGTTTGGACGGGTGATGGGCGGTGATAAATGACACTGAGATCTTACGTTGGAACTTTTACATTGCACGATGCATATGTAGTTAAAAAGTTCATTTAATCATTGAGCCAATGTTAGTACCCAGTGAAGCGAATTGAAGAAAAGACATGCAGTTGATGTTATATATATGTTTTAATAGTCGCATTGCATGCATGTTACGCAAAAGTAACTTACAAAAGTAACAGAGACATGCAAAACAACAGAATCACAAACATGCAAAATAGTCGCATTCTTTTTAACATAAACAGCGAAACGTCGGGAGTTAAAGTGTTTTTTACAACGTAATGAGCGACGGAACGGCCTTGCTGACACTTGCATTTTTACACACATAGTCGCATTCGTATAAGCATTGGTTTGGCATCAGAATGCGAAGGAACAGTTGTATATTTTCAGAGAACTTCTTCAATAAAGCGTCGATTAAATTCGTCTTCCACCTGTTTTACTGCAAAGTGATCGGATCTCAAAAAGTTGCAGTGCCGTTGTATCCCCCAGAATGCAGCCTGGTATCCGTTAAGTACTACATTTCAGGAAAAATCCCGAGGCAAGAAGGAATACCTAACCAGGCACATCATGTAGGCTGCATTATGCGGCCAGAGCCGCATTTATCATCTCTGTCACAGACGGGCGCCATTACATGCATACCTTTCGGCTGTAGGGAATCACAACACGAAATGCAAAATTCCTGTTTAGATGAGATAAATGGATGTCCTAGATTAAATCACGTACCTCGTGCATGTATTCCATTAAACAGCATATATGAAAAACGTCCCTCACAATTCTCCTCATTGAGCATTGAGATGTGCTTGTGGCTATAATCCGACGAATGCCAACAGCTACAAAAAGAGGTATTGGCGAATGTTATTCCGAGGCTGGAAGATTATATGACGGATGCTGTAGCCTACTGAGGCTATATCTACAAAAGAACTTAATGCTGGAGGAACCTCGTATGTTCCTGTTGGGCGAGTCTTTATACTAGCAGTAGAAAAAAGAGCCTGGTTGTAAAAAGGTGAAACAATCGAATAATAATCAATTTATCTATTGGATTTGAGATGTTTGAGAAGGTGCTGAGAGGGAGACTAGCGGCTCGTGTTCCTGAACTCCGGCCGTTCAACAACCGGGAACAACACCACAACTTCGGCCCGGCAACACTCTAAACACAGCGTCCAATATCGTCCCGGTCGCGGGGTCCCACAAATGTAAACCTAACAGCGGTGGTCACCACCACCACGCAGAGTTCGCATTTACAGAACTCGGCAGAAAAAGTGCTCGTCCAAAAATGAAGACAGATGTGTCCCCGGAGGGTGTTCAGCCCGACGGACGGCCGCAAAAAGGCATCGCCGCGCTGCTGTGAAACAAGATCGGGAATCGATGTCGGCAGAAAACATCTGTATTGAAGATTAAACTGAAATCAACACGTCGAATTGAGGAAGCCATTACAATTTGCGGCGGGCTGTGGGCTTAACGTTTTGAACAGGCTGGATAAGGTTGAAGGATTTCGGTGAAGCTTTTAGGATAAACACTAGATTAAAACTGAATGATGATGGCCGGTTTTGACAGCATATATTCCCCGATGCCCATAATTCAGTCACAATCTGACAAGAAAGGTTTGGATATCAATCAACGTTTAGTCAAGCATAATGCAAACATAGCATTAATGGTTACCGTATCAAATAGATCGATACATGAAAAATGATATAAACGGTGATTTTCTGGGGCTATTATGTTGCCTCAATTTAATAAACCATACAAATTTTAACAAAAACGACAGAGATGTTGGCATGACGACGTTAAGTTGTACAGTGAACAACTTCTTCCACTGATATCGCCGTTTATGCGAAGATGACGTAGGAAAGGCAAAGGAGGGTGGCGGGTCGGGGTAAACTGGTCATCGAACCCCAATCAAAGTCCATCAGTGCTCTAGTTACAGTAAAACTCAGCTCGATGAGACGAACGGCAAATAACTTCGAGCTCGGAGATATAATTGGATACCGTGCAAGCTGTTTTCCGTTATAGTTGCTGTGTACAGAGGCTCGGCCCAATATTGCCCATCACCTATCTAAGAGTTTGCCCAATGAAGTTTGGATTCTTAGTAGCAGGCTCTGGAGAATTTTGTAATTACTTGTTCTGATCGGAGCTTTGAACTTATTTTTGATGAGCTACAAACATGCTTCAGTTGCACAGCAACATGCATAAAAACCTATCCCTGATTAATTAAACGACAGGATTGTCGAGAATGAAACAAAAAAATAACAGTTCCAAAGGAAAAAAAGAATCAAAATTACCATAGTGCTCAGTGGTAGAGCCTGAATAATGAATATCTTAAAGGGACCCTCCCACCTTAACATTAGATTTGAGTTGAGATAGCCAAATTGATGGCCATGGCCTGAAAATACCGGTTTGGGCACTCACAACATCGAAAAATGCTTTAATTCGGAGATATCGAATTTCAAACTTGCAGTTTTCGGATTCTAAGGGGCTAATGCATTGGTATGCCCCCTTAGAATTTGTGACGTCAGCGGAGATCTAACGATATTAAATCTTTTACTAAAACGTTTGGTAGCACGCGGTGGTATATGCTGCTTTGCGCGCAACAAATGCCGCACTTTCAAATAAAGTCGCTAGGAACAGCGGAGATCCCAAAAAGTAAACAAAAGTAAAAGTCTAATATCTTGAAAACCGGTGAATATTTTTCGATGAAATTTGGTAGATATTCGTTTTTGCTCTTTCTGAACCGAGCGACATCACTTTCATGCCAATTCATTAACTTTTTTGAAGGTGGGAGGGTCCCTTTAACTGAATAATCCCCTCTCCCTTAGAGCAACTGATCCCGATAATAGTGTTTCGTTGACAGGGCGTCAACGACGTGCGCTACTGTCGTGAGTACCGTTCACGAAACCACTTCCCTCAAATCCGACCAAACATATAAAATACGCCCGTATCGACCCTGACACGGTTGCGCTGCAGCTGACACTCAATTTCGCCGCCATCACGTGACCCATCAAATGGCGACAGCCTTCGTCGAGCCACGTGTCACGTGATGGGAAACAAGCCCACGCGCCGTATCGTCCGACGCGCTGTCATTGAGGGCAATGAGAGATTGTCAGACCAAACCGAGACCTCTCGGCCTCACACTGAGCGGAGGTGACAGCGGCGGCAGCAGCTCATGACGGTCGGATTTGGACGGTCGTTTGGCCTCATCACAGTCGGCGAGAGTTGCGGTGACACCCATCGTGGAGTCAATGACATGGGAGCGTCATCAGACAGTCATGAGCAGCAGATGACGTCTGTGCGACCCTGGACGCCGCCATACGGCGCGGCCATTGTCCGGGGAGCGACGGTCGTTTACAGGGTAATGAGCACGCGCTAGGAGGGGGGGGGGAGACGATTTGGAGCGCTCGCGGGTAGAAAGGTACACACGCGAATAAGAATGTAGCAAGAGGGGTGGTTTGTTGGCTTTCCGACTGTTGTTAGCCTCTTCATGTAGTTTGCTTAATGTTTGTGGTAAGAACACGCACGTTTGACACAAACTTCCCAGAACCTTGCTAGTCATACCTTATCACAATTGAATAGCAGCTGCAAGTTGCGACTAACCTCTTAGCATCTAATACCTATGTCTTTGCGTATAGTGTCTACATATACTGAATGATTCTGCGTTAATTTCACTAATGTGTACTGATTATTCATGAGAGCCAAAGCAACGAAGTTATTCACCGATTTCATTGGAAATGTGTCGAGCTGATAGGCGTCGCTTTGTCAGGCATTGCCAGAAGTGGTTTCACTCTAAACGCATTTAACTTTGGCAATTAGCATACTATTATAGTTAACAAGATTAGCATCATACCCAATTTGGAGCAATGCTAACGCTATATATGTGTGTCTCCCAAAATTAATCGACCTCATAATCAACGTGTTTTTATTACAAATCCACGATTGAAAATTGTCATTATTTCCACACTCAGACACCTTCCCTAAAGAGACCGTTCATTTAGCTGAGACCCCATCTGGCAGGAAACCACTCTCTCGAGAATAATACGCTTCCGGCGAATCCTGACGCTGGCTAACTTTGCAGCCCGACTTCCCGCGGACTTTAGACGACTTTCACGGACTTTGATATCAGCCTCTCGTGGTCGCCGTGCAGGGGTTCTGAAAGCCGAATCCGCTATGGAAAGGTGTTCCGACGAACCTAATAAGTCGGCCCACAATGCACTTGAAATACATTAAAGAATACAGCATTGTGTTATGAAAATCGTATGATTCGCTGGGCGACGCACCATTCTTTTGTGTCAAGTAAAAGCCCTAGTGGCGTGCTGGATGAGCGAAACAAAAGTAAGATAAATTTATTTAGCTCGCTCCCAATTCACTTAAATAGAGTAGTTCCGCCGCAATTTCAACAACTCTGATAAGAAGCACCTCTTATGAAATGTAACATTGTCCTGTACCGCAACATCTTGTTCTAACCGTCCAGTTGAATGAGATGCCCCTTTTAGAAACAAATCATATCAAATCTGGGCACGCACCACTGTCATATTTGTAAACCACCGAATTAACTCGAAAAGGATTACCGAGATTACGCCCAGTTCCAATTACACAGCTCCTCACGATGTGGCATGCCTCACTCTGTCGCATTCTTTAACAATGCAAATGATCACTGGTTCACCAAAGTTCGTTTTTCTTATGCTACAAATGATAAAAGGGCGACCGAAGATCGCAATCCAGTGTCATTAGCTGACTATTCGAGGCTGGCGTTTCCGATGCTCGCCTATGTATTTCTTATATAACCACGCACCTGTTATAAAAAAAAACATTTCAAAGCAATAAACACAATTTCACCGTAAGGCACAAGTCTTTAAAAGTCACGGTACTTTTTCTTACATAATACAACAAAGCAATATCAAGGGCTCTCAATATCCGTCATCGAAGCCCATCTCTGTGCACTGCAATTGTCTCCAATATCGGGCTAGCACCGGCATTACGTTTCGTTCGCAAGGGCTGATATGAGATTTCTGCTATAGCAAGCACGGCCGAAATGAGTTTTGGACAATATTGGCCCTAAAACGGCTGTTTTCGCATCTTCTTGTTTGTCGTGGAATGAATATCGGGGCGGAAAACGCTGGACCAAATACGGGCTATCCAATACGAGATGTTGTATTTGGTCGCTTATAACAGAACAGACGCCAGTTCAATGCCCCTTTTACAGTTCTTTTGAGAAGACATACTTTTCTCTTATCAAACCTGAGACGGAAAATTGCAATAAGAAACAGCTTTTGAAATTGCTGTTGGAGAAGTTATCCTTTTTCAGTTCAGTTGGTTGTATTCCTTCCTTAAAACAGAGGAATATGGAACCGATACATGCGAATAGCGAATGTGTAACTGAACAAGTTCCCTATCCTGCTATGATGCCATCTAAGTCGTATTACGATTTACCTCCCTGTCCTATGGCGATGCCACTGGTCCGTTCAGAATGCTAAATATTGTTTTTAATATTGCTCTCCTATTTGCTTTGGAATATATCCGGCAGCTCATTTCAGTTTACGTCGAGCCCAAGTCAGCTAATAAATCATCCAGCTGATATACAACAATATTTACATTAAGCTAGATGACCAACAACTATTCTCCTTAGTGTTAAATAATTGATCCTACGGGACATTTCCTCTTCCAAATAAACAACAAACATTCCCTCTGAGCCTTCAGGCAGAACACCTGCCTAACATTTGCCGGTAGTGACAAACGACACTGCATGGTACATCCAGCAGATTTAATGAACATTGGAGCTTGGCTCAAATACCACACATGCTCTGAATTATTTAAACATAGATCGATAATCCTAATCCGGTTTACCCAAGCCATTATGTGTTTAAAGTATGCTTAGTCGCGCCGCAAAGCTTTTAGGGCGCAATGCTTTCACGCTGTTAAGTGACTCTGTCTCGGGCGATATGCAAAGTGCTTATTTACACACGACCGGATAAAGACATCATTTTACGTCCAAGCAGCGACGCTTCCGTGAAACCACAGACTAAAAGTGATACGATGTAGATCAATTCAGTATTAAGGCTTTTCATTTACATATGAGACGCATCCTTCATCTAACTGGTGCAAAATAGCACCGAATAAATTGAACCACAGTTTTGTTCTCCAACTTCGTTCCTTTTGTTTGGAAAATCGGCTGCGGCAGAAGAACAGTTTGAGACACTGCTGACGTAAACAGACGGCAGTGCAGGTTATCGTTGCTTAGCGGACACCCTGCTCGCCACCACAGACGTCCCTTCCATCCTACAGATCCGGGGTGTGTGCCTTTACCCCTGCGCACACAACTGGGAGAAGGAATCGGGCCGCCGCACAGTGGCGAGTCTGGTAGTTGGTACCGTATCGGAAGCCGATCATGGGCAAACACACCACTCCTAACACCAACTCCTCTCTCTCTCTCTCTCTCTCTCTCTCTCTCTCTCTCTCTCTCTCTCTCTCTCTCTCTCTCTCTCTCTCTCTCTCTCTCTCTCTCCCCCCCGCCTCTGCCACCCCTATCGCTCCCTATCCCTCCCAGTCTCCTCCACTACCGCCGCTGCCGCCGCCCACACGGCTCGTCACCTCCCTCTTTCGTCGCCTTCCCTCCGTCGCGACCGACGCTGGTCGGCGCGAGCGTAATCCGCGTCGCCGACGTTGCCGGACACGACCTCCGACAGCGGTGACAAACGACGTCGACGGTTATGATTGAGCGGCCGGCCGCGCCGCCAGACCGAAAGGCCAATCGGTAGGCCCAGAAAGGCGGTATACCCGCAATGGCGGCGAGAGATATACAATTGTTTGGTCCTCAATTAACATCCGGTGATTAATGTTTTGCAACAGGTTTGTGTGGTAGTTAGAAGGAAAACTGGTTTGATAGAGGGTTGTATAGGTGATGGCGTGATTGTTGAACAATTTCTTAGGTGGTATTTATAAATAGGTATGTGCGTTTTTGTGCCAGGGTGCAAAAAGTCCACCGTGCATGCATGTAATAAACCCTGCTACAACTACAGATCTGAACGCACGCAAGCTATAAACTTGATAGAGCACAAAGGAAATCAAAGGAAGAGCCCTTATCTCAAAGGCCATTCGTCTTTAAAGGTCAAGAAAATAAAATGTCAATCTTTCCATTGTGCACAAATTCCCAGAAAACAGTTCCATCTTGGCCAATTTAAAATCAAAGCAAAACCGGCACGCAATGCTTTCCGAGAAGAGGAGAATGCAAGCAGCCAGTTGAAAACGCGGACGCTGAATTAAACACCAATAATGTTTCATCTTAAGAAGGTATTTGAGTGCACACACTAGCTGGCATAAACAATTATGATGCAACATGCATTGCTCATTTCCAAGTCGATCGAAGCCAAATCGAATTGCGAATAACTCAGTCTGAACGCGGCTGTGGGCATGCAAAATGTAGTGATGCTGGCATATTCGTGCTGGCTGGTGCAATCTATCGCCACGCTGTTAATCTTGTCTCTACTGAATTTCAACTTGGGTTAGTAGGCTTACACTGAAAAACATGTACAAAACATGAAATAAAGTCCAAAAATATTATATTTTATATCGATAACAGTCTCCCAATGCATTGAGAATCAGTCGGTTCAGATAGCACGAACCGTAATGGATTGGAAAGATCGTCACTAAATGAGCCGAGACGCTCCTTGGGACGGATGGTTGAATAGAACGTAGAGACAAAACGCACAGCATGTTCCTCTGAGCATGCGATGGTGAGGACAGGCAGCCACGGCACATCTAGAGGAAATAGCTCATCTGGTAATTACATGGCCTTGTCTAATAATGGTCTAGTGTCGGTCCGTCACCTTTCTCGAGCGTCCTGACCGGCGGCGTGCGGGAAGAAGAGAGAGCGCACCCGTCACCGGAGCTGTACCACCAGGCAAACACTCGCATCCCGCCCCAGGCGCCTCACACCGCACCAGAGCAAACACACAAACACTTGACGACCCCCGGACGGCGATCCGACGCGGCGGGAGCGCCGGCGGCGACCGAGACCGGAACAGTCTCGGTCCGAGTGTCCCTCCCGGTCCAGCTGCCTCCTTCGGTTCAAGCACCTCTTTTAGTCAAAGTATCCCTTGGCCTCCCTTCACCGACCCCAGATATGGCGAATCTGTCCCAGAGACCAGCTCAGACTTACTTTTTCAAAGGCACGGGACTGTGCAGACCGTTACGAGCCTCGGTGACCCGACACGCCACCATATTGTACTCTGAAACAGGGCGCGGTCCGTCAGGTCAGAGTTACAGCGCAGAGAACAGTGCAGTGTTTTCGGCCACAACCACGACTGACAGTCGCCGACGTGAGCTAATCAAATACCGCGTCCGTTCCCGTCGATAAAACCAAGCCCGCGCTCGGACCTTTGCGTAAAGTTCGATTGCTTTTCCGAAAACTTGTCACAAACACGCTGCAACAAGACGCAAGTAGACCGCGGAAAAAGAGCTCCAATAGCCGGCGAGTGAGCGCAGATGGGACCACTTTGCGCCGCTCCGGTCCCGGCTGATCAGCAGTGGGCCCTCGGGCGATTAGTGAAGGCTGACGCAGCTGCCGCCTTGGCCAGGTCACGTGACCGACCTAGATGTCAGGGGTCACCGGGAATGATCTATGGCGGCGCCCTAAGTGGTGATCCCGAGCAGAAACAGCGGCGTTCGTCCGCGCCTGATGGCCACATGTGCACGCCAGCATTGCCGCGATTAATTTGGCGTCAACGTGCCAGGAGGGTTTTGCGTCTGAGGCGGGGAGATGTGATCGTAATACATTGAGGGAATCTCGGGAACCGCTTCGAGCGCGCGCCGTAGCTGGTTTTGTCTCAAATCGATGTGAAATTTTAGACGACCAGTTTCCAAGCGTTCAGACCGAAATTTACGCAGACATAAATTGGTCATATAGCGCATAATACAAATCTCGACGCAAGCTATGTCTATGGACCGCCAAAAATAGATCAAGTTATGCGAATTATCCGTTCTGTCAACTCCAAATCAAAACCTGCGACAGCTCGGCTCGAATTAGCATATTCTTCACAATCTGTCGGCCCAACTCGAGCGACAAACAATTCCGACGGGCTCTGCCTCGTCCAAAAACTCTCCGGCTGTCTGCCCCGCTCTCCGCCATCTCCCAGACTTGAACCTCCCCGATACCAGCACCGACTTACCCTTCTCTTGTTTCCTTCGTTTTCGTTTGTTGCATATTTTCACGGTGCAGACGGAGAGGATGATGGAGACGATGAGCAGCAGCAGACCGCCGACCAGCGCGGCAGTGATGGCCTTCTGCTGTATCCGGTCCGAGATCTCATACTCCAGCACAGGACTGACGCTGAAGCTGGAGTCTGAGTGGGCGTACACACGGAACGAGTAGATGCCCGGGTCCAGGTTCCGCACTGCCGAGAGGAAGAGAGAGTCGATTCGAGGTGAGTCGAGGTGAGTCAGGAGCAAGTCGTGAGTCTGTAATGAGTGAGGAATGACTAGTGAGACAAGACAGTCGGGGACTGAGTCGTCGAAGTCGAAAATCAGGAGCAACTTTTCATCTCGGGAGAAACTCGGGGGTCAAGTAAGTCGGGAGATGTGACAAAACTTGGACGTGGGAGAGAAACAGAGTCCTTGAATGGACACACCTCACAGTGAAGGGAACGCCTATAATGGTCTGAAAACGAAATTAAATAAGACGGTGGGGCGGACATCCGTAAAGACGTGTCAAAATATGGAATAGCTTTAGGAAAAAAACATGTAAGATGCATTTAGAAAGTGTATTCCATATTACGCAGGCGACTACCTACTTTAGCTTCACAACATGTGATGTTAGTAAACTGCTCGACTAAAACACTTGTGTGTTCACGGTCAACACCACACAGCTCGAGAGACCGGCGGCAGTGTGCGTTTCTGTAATTCCACAGTGGGTCTGAGCATCTAAAGCCGCTGAACTTCCACATTTCTAGGAGATGCATAGCGACATTCAGGTGGCAGCCTCATTTGGAATGAAACCATTACATTGTCTTTATTGCAAACTCGCAAATAACGAAGACAGTATGCGATATAGACCCAGCTTACGCAGACCCTGCAGAGAAAAGAAAACAAAGGCTTTTCCTGTGTTTAGATGGTATTCGTATTTCAGCCTCTTCAATGGAGTATGCCAGCAACAGTGCAATTCGCCCGCCTTATCTATGCATCCAACCGCAAAACAGAGAGCCCGTATCACATTTCTCTGAACGGCCAAGTTCGGCTTTGCATTGTTCAAGAGTGTGGATTTCTTTGCTCCAGAGCTGTAACTTGTGTTCGGGATCTCCATCCCCAGTGGCCAGGCCTTTTGCAGGGCGGGTGCCGTGTGTGTGCTAACAACAGAAACTCGGGGCCTAACTTGCTAACGGAAAAAGTATCACAACTGTCTTATACTACGTGTCAGCGTCACCACGCCGCGTCTCGGGTAAACATGTGTACAGCCTGCCGCCTGCATAGATGTGGTATCATACAAGCTGTAATTAACTTCAATTCATATCAACGGCGATAAAAGACACTTCCAAACTAAGTATGATGATGAAAGAAAACCGAAGCCTCATAATAATGAATGTATTCTAAAGTATGACCGAGAAAAAGGGATTAAGTTTCGGGCATAGCCCATCATCAGACACTTCCAAACTACCTCAGTTACTTCAGAAATATAAAGACTGATATTGAATGACATCAGAAAGTTTCACATACAGTCATTTTCCAAGCTGGAACTATGGAGCTCCACAACTGAATTTTAACAACAAACACATATCGCGTTGCATGTAGGTCACCACATTTCTTTAATACCTGTTTTACAGCCCGGATGAATGCCAGCTCGATATATAACAAAAGACATAAAGCGGTACTTTCCGGATACGGATCATCGATTTAACATCGTCCAGCAAATTAAACAGTGCTTGGTGGCAGATCTGCACGGCACGATTTGGCTTCGGGACGCAGTCGGCTGGCCGGGCGCCAGTTAGCGACAAAGCCCGGCCTGGTTCGGACGGCCGCGGTACGGTCGTTTGGTGGACTGTTTCATCCAGCCGTCAATCTCCGTCCCCCACCCAGATCTCGTATCAGCCCCCTTCCCCTCCCTTAGTGGCAGGACCCCCCCCCCCTGTCCCGTGGCAGGACAGCCATGGCGCAGAACACTGTATGCATACGTCCAAGTAAAGAAGCTTGTAAAAATAGTCCTTATTTGTATACGCCTTGCAATGTCGGGATAAGAGCATGCCATGACATAACTATCGTTTTCTAAGCCTTCGCTTTTTAAGTAACTCCAGCTTAAAAGTAGTGTGCCACCTTTGAAAGATTTCCCATTTTATTTTTCCTAGGATAAGAAGCTTCTGTTTTTACCTAATATCGCAAAAAAAAATCAAAATGGGCCTGGAATAGTGCCTTTTTCGCCTAAAAGTTTATCGGTTTTTCGATATGTATAACAACTGTAGTGGGCTGACCTGCAAACAGGCGTCGGCAACAATCGCGAATGCGGCGCACATGTGACAATAAGCAAAGGTCATTATAGAGTTACAACGTACGGGAATGAGTTATCAGCTGTCTAATCGTAGACAACACAATGTCGAGCCTTAAACTGTAAGCCTGTATTGGTATTGTTTCTTTTATTTGGCTGTCGAACATTATTTATGGTTTGAAATATGATTTTATGTAGAATAATTGATATGAAAAAGCCGTCTCTTAAGTTATGACCCCATTTCACCACACGCAAGTGGCAGAAATGACAATGATCAGCTGACGCATTTTTCTTGGCCGAAGTCAGAGCCCGCGGCCCGACGCACCACCACCGCACCACAAAGTATGAGCAGAAGCCGCGCCCAAAGCCAGGGCCCCGGTAACGTGAGGTAGCCGAGTCGGGGCAGCGTGCGCTGACCCAAGCCGGGGCCGCAGCTTTGGGCGCGGTCTACCGCATCCCCGCGGGCAGCCCCGGGCTATCACATGACACCGGGAGGACGCGCGGCCCCGGCTTGGGTCAGCGCACGCTGCCCCGACTCGGCTACCTCACGTTACCGGGGCCCTGGCTTTGGGCGCGGTCTACCGCACCACCTAACAGGCGTGTTCGAAACCGCAGGAGATGATGATGAACGGGTTTATCGAAACTTGATTGGATGAGCATATCGGTAATAGCGATTTTAGTGTGTGCATTTATTGTTCATAGCACGGTGTGAAATGTGGTTGGGGTACGACCGACAACCCGTCGGGGCGAATTTCGCACTGGGGTACTCAAAATTTGAAGAATTTAACCCTATTCCTGGCGGGGGGGGGCCTCAGGAGCCCCCCTGAGGTTTTTTGGTTATATCTCCCAAACGCGTTGAGCTAGGAAGCTCAAATTTTCTGACTTTTCCTAAAAGGCTTCTACGCAACATGTCTGAAAATTTTGAGTTGATCTGACCTCAGGTCAGGTCACCACAGGCGGTTTGGTGACGCTACCTCAGAAAAGTTTGCAATCACGCCAGAGCTAGAGTTTTTGACCGATCAATTTCTTCTCTTCAGGGTTTAGTTAGGGTACCAGTATGTGCAATTTGTATATCTCGGAATTTTGATATCGGTGACCTAAGGTCAGGTCAATTTCGCGACCTCCCCATTATAAGTCAATGGGGGAAAAATCAACTCCCTGTTTTTACCACTAAAACGGGTCGGAATGGCCCCATATACCATACATGACTTCATATACGATCAACCTTCACTACCTTGAGGTCTGTTTTGCTGTTGGGCAGCTGTGAGGTCATGTGACGTCATCAAAGGTCACCAAAGGTTTTTGGCCAATAACTCCGTACAGGAACAAGATACAGACGCGTGGATGGTCTCATTGTGTTCAGCTCGTCAAGACACATCGAATGATATACATGATGACCTCGAGGTCACGTGACCTGAGGTCAACCTTTGACCTTGACCTTTCGAGGTCAACATATATATCATTCGATGCGGATTGACGAGAGGATCACGATGATGCCCTTAGTTTGTTCCTATCTTGACTAATTCGAAAGTTATTCGAGAAAAACTCTCTCCATATCTAGTGCCGCCATTTTGACTTTTTCGACCCCTGTGACGTCATCTTTGACCTGACCTGAAAATGACCTTAGTAAAAATTGTAGATCTTGGCCGTGCGTATCCGATGCCGTTTACCGCTTGTCGCTATCTTGCTTCGTTCTCGAGATCTCAGGGGGGGGGGGGGGCCGAATCGCCCCCCCCCCCGCCAGTTTCTTGTCCCGGCGGAGCCCGCCAGGAATAGGGTTAAGACGTTTCCATGAGTTTTGAAGGTATGGATAAGTTCTAAAAATCCGGTTCTCCTTATCTGGGCCATTAACTCCATACGGTCCAGGAAAGCTGGCTCACTACCTTTAACCAAACGCAAGTCCCTTGCGACGAGTTTTTAAGCCATGGGGTAAATGCATAATCATATATTGGGGCAAGATGAGCACATGCAAAAGGAGTAACTTTCGATCAAGTGACGACTGATTTCAGACATCAAAATCACATTGCAGGGCTGAATGAGTGACCATGCAGTATAACACAATTCAGAGGAGCAAGTAGATCATTTCGAATGAAGCTTTAGATGACTCGCATCTCGTGATACGCTATGCGCGATCGGCGAACAAGCGAGGTCGTCTTTCATACGCTCATTTGACGGCGTCGATGAACACTTGCAAGAGTGGAGTGGCCTTTCCAGAGCTGGCATTTGCAGAAATGAGAGCCATTCCCCGAATTGAGGTACATTGCCAGGGCGGGCACAAATTTGAACGCGGTGATACGACGAAGATCAGACGGAATTTCGGCTGAAGTGGTACTCGCAAAGGAAGGATACGAAATAGGACCGTCAAGATTACCAGTCGGCGTCTGCAAAGAAACACTCATTTCAGAACCACTTCCTTAACGGCTTATGGCGGGCATTTTGATTTTGACCTTGTTTTAACATCTCACGATCACAAAAATAGATGACTGCGTAAGCAAGCAAAAAGCACAAGAGACCAAGTTGAATGGTACACAACATAATGACAACGTTTCTAACAGAGGATTCAACCTTAAAGAGTATGTCTACAGAGCTTTAAAATAAATTCCCGTTGTGTGTCCTACATTCAATTTCAACTCCTATTTATCATTTGAATGAAATTTCTTGGCTGAAATGAATGTTTCCAGAATGATGCAATTCATTGCACCTGCAAGTTCTGAGAACGAACGAAACGCAATGACATCGTTAGTATAGGCATTTAACTGGCAAAGTCAAAGTAAATATAATTCGCTGCACACGAAAACATTGGTAATTCATAATACCGTTCAAGTCGAGTAATGTCAGATTTCACTTTAAGGTGGGCATTAGACTACCTAGCCAATAAACAATGAATTATCTTAGCGTCTACTTGAGTCAGATAAAACATCA